CGTATTAATCAATGGAGTATTATATTTATTCTTCGTATTAATTAAATTAAGTTTTATTTATATCGACTTCTCGCGTCCGAAGTCAAACCCTTACTACTCTGCTGATATACCATCTTAGCCTGTCCTGGGGATGTAAAAAACATCGATGTATCGAGCAGCGACGATGTTTTTACCACGATGCATCGATGTTTGTCCAAACATCGAACGTTATTCATGTTTTCTTTGTGTGGTTTACCGAAGAAGGTATATAGGTATTATAAATTATTTGATGTTTTCATTAAAATGTGTATTTTGTAATATACATTTTAGTTTTAGCTTAATACGCTTAAAAGGTGTAGCTGAAACGCGTCGTTGTTTTTAAAACTGTATAGAATCAGTTATTTTAAGTAAGCCATACAAGTCATCGTAAGTCAATATTACGAGTACTTTTTTGATTAACAACATTAAGTCAAATACTTTGACAGTCTCTCTTGATATATAAACATTTTTTATTTGAAACATCGCTAGTGATTTTCTCCCTAATAATCGCTTTTTTTCTAGTGAAAGTAAATTTTTTAAATCATCGATGCATCGTTGTTTTTTTGCGATGCATCGACCATACATCGATTTTTGATAAAGAGACATGGGAGTACATCAACATCGAAGTTTTCCCTTCGATTTACATCCCTAGCCTATCCTGGGCTGCCTATAGCGATAGTTTGATAATGATCTGCTGGTTAAAGAGCTGCCAAACCCTATAGATATAGCATCCTTGATAATCGTTTTTTTCTATTGAAAGTTAATTTTTTAAAACATCGATGCATCGTTGTTTTTTTGCGATGCATCGACCATACATCGATTTTTGATAAAGAGACATCGGTGTACATCAACATCGATGTTTTCCCTTCGATTTACATCCCTAGCCTATCCTGGGCTGCCTATAGCGATAGTTTGATAATGATCTGCTGGTTAAAGAGCTGCCAAACCCTATAGATATAGCATCCTTGATATAGCACAACATGCAGTAGTTGCAAGGATGAGAAAGGTATATCAAGTTTCCGACATCTAACTTATATGGGACTTCGCTGAAATTCTTAGAAAACGAACCCAGTTTTTGGAACCATGAACCATTACAAGAGGGCCCCTTTTCATGAATTCCACAATATTGTAAATAAATATTTTCATCTTCACCGAAACCATGTACACTGATAAAAAAAAAAAACCACGGAAGTTTCAATATTTAGATGTAGATTTAACTATTTTTACCATCTATTTTGCACCATCGTGTGTTTTAGTAAATATGAAGTGTGCACACTTAAATTTAATATTAAAATATATACTTGAGAATTCTAGTCAATTGAAATGTAATAGTTTTCTATATATATATACTTTGATCGACTACAAAAACTTCAAATTAAAGATGAGAAAAATATTATATTTTACTATTATGTGCATATTAATATTTAATATGGTTAAACATTAAATTGAATATGACACACTTTAACGAAGTTTTACAATTTGTTTTGAATATTATTCATATTAAAATCACTAATTGAATATGTTTATAGTAAAATTTACGATGTTTATATTTGATTTGAATATGAAATAGGTGAACATTAAATTGAATATGAAAATGTTCATCTGTACTATGCAACTTTTTTATCAGTGTACTATTACATCTCGTTTCATGTGCTATTACATGTCATTGCGAAGGCTAGAAAACAGCTAGAGAAATAGTAATGAAAATAGACAGACAAGTTAACACACAGACAAACGGACTCACCTTGTCGAGTATGTAGCCATTCCTCTTTATTATTACAATGTGTGATACAAGAAAGTTCCCTTTAAAAAAAAAACAAGAGAGAACGCTACAGTCGATCAAGCCCGACAGTGTAATACCCTGTACCCAGTAAAACTTCCGTCACTCAGTTATATGCGCCCAAAGCAGCAGCAAAAAGACGAGGGTTGTACTGGCGAGAATTTGTTTCGCTAATAACTTTTTTTTATACCCTGTACCCGTAGGGTAAACAGGGTATATTAGGTTTGTGCAAAGTATGTAACATACAGAAGGAAGCATCTCCGACCCCATAAAGTATATATATTCTTGATCAGCATGACGAGAGAAATCGATCTAGACATGTCCGTCCGTCTGTCCGTCTGGATGAACGCGAGGATCTCAGAAACTATAAAAGCTATAATAACCAAAGTTGGCATCCAGATTCTCCTAGGTCCGAGTAAGGACGAGTTTATTTTTTTTTTTTTAATTTTCCCCCCCTTCCCCCGCTACAGAATTTCGTCAATAGCGTCCACATTTCAATTGCTACCTAAACCAAACTTTGCACACATAATTCAAATTCAAATTCAATTCGGTCAATTCTAAGAAAAGTTATTAGCGAAACAAATTCTCGCCAGTACAACCTCACCAAACTGCAGCAACAAGTTCGCTCTTCTTCTTCCTCTTTTTGCTGCTGCTATGGGCGCATATAACTCAGTGACGGAAGTTTACCTGGGTACAGGGTATTACACTGTCGGGCTTGCTCGACTGTAGCGTTCTCTCTTGTTAGAATTGACTGAATTGAATAAACTTTTTTAAACAACAGTAGATAATTATATATAAATTAAGTGTGCAAAGTGTGGTTTAGGTAGCATTTGAAATGTGGACGCTATTGACGAAATTCTGTAGCGGAGGAAGGGGAGAAAATTAAAAAAAAGTAAATAAACTCGTCCTTTCTCGGACCTAGGAGAATCTGGATGCCAACTTTGGTTATTCTAGCTTTTATAGTTTCTGAGATCCTTGCGTTCATCCAGACGGACAGACGGACGGACGGACGAACATGCCTACATCGATTTCTCTCGTCATGCTGATTCAGAATATATATACTTTATGGGGTCGGAGATGCTTCCTTCTGCATGTTACATACTTTGTACAAACTTAATATATATAATAAAAAAAACTAAATCTTCTTAGCCAGTTACTACTGTACACTGTGGCGCACAGCAGCCACAAAGTGCACTGAGGGCAGCATTGCAAGTACAGAGAGTTGAACGGAGAGTGAGAAAAAATGTGGCTGGGTGATTGGGTGAATGGGAATGTGAATGTGAATGGCTGCACAGTGCGTCTGTTTTGACTGTTGGGGCTTCCCAATGGCATCTATTTTTTCCTCTCTCTACTACTTCCTATTCCTTTTCCTTTTGCTGTCCGATTTTCCGCTATACCGCTTGTTCGCGCTCGGCGCTCCACAGTGTGGGCGTAAATGTTGTTATGCGGTAAATGCGCCATAAAGCTACGACTCCCAAAGGCTGCTTACATTTGCGTAAATGTACTTTTGTCCCACACCGTGGCCTGCTTATGGTGGGCGGTAAGTGGGCGTGGCAGTGGTGGTGCTGCTGCTGCTCCTGCCCTTTATGCATGCGCCACTCAAATAAAATTTAATAAAAAACGTGCAGCTCGGCATAATGCGAATGGAAGGCAGTCAATGGCAATATGAGAGGCGTTGAAATAAAGAAGAAGAAGAGAGATGTGTGGGGGTAGGGGAAGTGGGCAGTTGGGACGGAAATTAAAATTGGAGTTGCAATGCATTGTGGCGTTGAGCGCACATCAAAATGCAAAGTGATGATGGCAACAGCTAATATGATAACCCACTCATTCAATCGTGTTCGACTAATTTACAACAACAACAACAGCAGTAGTAAGCAACTAAGCAACCAATACCAGCACCACAAGACATTAGCTGTCAAGAACAATACGTGAGCGCGCAATCAACGCCAGTGGAACATCGCCGCAGCAGCCGCCAATAAGACAAGCAACTCGTATACTCACAGATGTAGATACAACTGCAAGTACGAGTACTCGTACAACATCACTGAGAGAAAAAAAAACATGTTTCATCTTGTTGTTTTCGCCTCAAAATTAAACACTTCAATTGCGTTTTCTTAAGTGGAATCGAGGCTTGAAATAGACCGTTTTAATAAAGTTTAGGATAATCGGCCAACTGGCTTTTAGAACTATTATAATTTATACCGTTCACTGAGCTGTGTAATGATTTATTGTGTTTGGATGGCGAAATCCTTAATGCTTTCTTATTAAAACTAGATAGTGCATAATTCGCTCCTTTTGCCCAAAGAGAAATAGCTCTATAGCTTTTTTATAGCCATGATGATTTTTCATTCATTCCCTTTAGAGAGCGTGACAAAAACTTGCCATCACATTCAAGCAAATTCAGTGAAATTATTTTCTGTCAGTCCAATAAGTTCTCATAATTGTCCCTTTTTAAATTGCCATTAATTATTCATAGACAGTGTTTTTCTTTTACAATTTACAACTTTTAAAGAAATTCCATTCGCATACCAATGGCAACCAACTGTGTGGTATAATTTTTTTTTCTACAACATTTTTCGACTCCTTTGTGAACGTTTGGAGTTTGGAGATGCTTTTTTTATAAGTTTCACAATCAGTTTCGTCATACTCCATAAATTAACGAGACTATTCACAATTCCCTAATGCTGCCCAATGTAATACTTATGTATACCTGTAAATATATTCTTTGCAAGACTATTTTAATAATGCAGCAAATCTAATAGACCACAGTGCTCCTACACTTAAAAGTTTTAAAATATTTGCAAATTTAAGTCTAGAATCGATTTTAAACTCCCGATTGATTCATATTTGATTAAAACATTTTAAATATTAATGATGTTTCAATTTAAATAACAAAATTAATACCAGTTTTCTTCTGTCTGCCTTTTTATTTTCAATCAAAATAAGTAGTTGCATTTACTATAGTCCTAAATGAAAAAGGAAAGCTTGCTCTTTTTAAAAATCATCGAAGAGTTAAGTCAATTCACAGATAAAGATACAATACTTAGTGTCAAGTGTTATTCCATCATTCTGCGAACTTTATGTTAAATTAACTTTAACTTCAATTAAAATATTTGCGATTGCAAGAAACAAATATTAATTACAAAACTGCATAAATTCAAACCTAACCGGAATTTTATTTTACGCACTATTTTTCCCTCAGTGTACAATCAGAGATACAAATATAGTCAACAGGCCACAGTGACAATAAGAGCACTCGAACCCAATGGGCAAGTGTGTGTCGCGCCAACCAACAACAGCCGCACATCATCAATCTGTGTTGACAATAACGCTATCCGAACAGGATTTGGCCCAGACGCACAAACTATGGCAACAGTTGACATCGAGTAATGAATATGTAGCAGCCACAGAATCCACAGTCGACCCACAAGATGAGCCTTTCTACTATTGCATAAGTCACAAAAAGCCAAAGCGTGAAGCTGCAGACAACGAATCGGAAGCTCTTCTGCACTTCGAGACAATCTATAATAATGTTCTGGCTGCCGAAGGACCAAACGACTACACTTGTCAGGAATTTCTATTGCAGGAGCTGGCACAGTTTATGGAACAAGCCGATGTCGTCAGTCTGAGCAGCCTGGCTAAGCCCGAACAAGAGCCAGAGCAATGGACAGTGGATTGTGGACAGAGAATAAATCGTCCTGCAGAGCTGCAACTAAAACGGCGGCCCACTGGTTGTCTTGGAAACGCCAAAGAGGTAAGTAGAGGAGTGCATTATTTAAAATACAGAAATAATTGACCCCGTTTATGCAGAAATAATGACCACCACCCCAAAGCCCACTTTCTATTATGTTTATAAAATTAACATGAAATATGATATGCTAAGCCAATGGCACTCAAAACAGTGTATATTCGATTTAAAGAATAGCAGGATATAAGGATATTTTATAGTTGAGATCATCATACCACTGTATTCCATAGCTGCTATAGGAAACTAACACCTTTGTTTTGAAAACTAACAACCTTATTTGATATCAAAATGGGTTTATAATACAATTTAAAAACATACAATTTAATTAGAACTTAATCAAATACTTATTATATAGCATAATCGTGTTAGGAAACTATTTAACTATATTCAGTATTGTGAAAACTGATAAACAGACGTCCATGCCTATTTCTAGAGAGAAGTAATTTAACGAATTTTCAAATACAACACCAATATGGGACCATCAGGTGACCTCCAACATATGTACTTTTTCATAGAAATTGCCAAAAAAAGACAAGAGAGATGATATTACCAAATTTGAGTTCAAAATTCCGAACTTTACTAGAGTTATGGAAAATCAAAAACAGGGGGGAGTGTATTAAAGAAAAACTTTACCTGCCTAGGGCTTAAGGGAACTTGGATACCAAGTTTGATAATTCTAGCTCTTGTACCACAGACTGGCAGACAGACGGACAGACGGACATGTCTATATCGACTTGTCTCGTCATGCTGATCAAGAATATATATACTTTGTGGGATCTGCCACGCCTTCTTCTGTGTGTTACATACATTCCCACAAAACTAGTATAGCCTTTCACCCTTTGAGTACAGGGTATAAAAACCCACCTTTACTCAACACTTGCGACTAGATGGCCTGAATGTGTACATTTGTGTATATGTGTAAGCAAATCACCAGTTTTGTTCTCATCTGCATAAACACGAAAGGGGGCTTGTTAAAAATAAAACTACACGTGTTATACTCGTACTTCTACACGTGCTATTCCCAGCATGGATTTTTTATTCATTTTTTAGAGAAAACTGTATAATTTTTTGTTAACAAGCTAAAGTGGAATTTCACTGTGTGTACGAATAATACATGTATCGCTTTTGTTTAACAAATAGATGTTTTTTCTCTTCAACTTTCCTAACAATTAAATCAACTTCCACTTACCAAATACCGTTTTCGTAGCCATTTCATTCTACGGTATAATCCCGGCTCAAACCACCCTCAATATAATTCACAACCACACAAAATGAACCCTAGATGGCGCCACTCGCACCAAACGACTCTCACCAAAAACCACCACCAATTGTCACATTTATGCTCTGCGGCCGGAACTGTCAGACACTTGTGTGTGTTTTTTTCTGCCTCTGCGCATGTTCCCGTGCTCCGCTTGACCGACGACGACGACGACGTTGACAGAGGGCCCAAGCATACTCATTCGGACTGCTAGAATTTTCAGCGACGCATTCAATTTTCCGTGTGCTGCAGTTTCACAAGTGAAAATCGAGCTGAGCAACAGTCAGCAGAAAAATCAAAGCAAGCAAATCTTGCAACGCAGAAAAACAAAAAAAGGAAAAGAATTTAAAGCATACTTGGAGGCGTCGCCGCATAGCAATAAATTCTTCAAAGCGGCGACTTTCAGAACACTTTTCCAAACGCTACCAATACACACGGTTTTCAAGGACTTACAAAAGACTTTTCCATACTTGTGTATGCGTGTGTGTGCTTGTGTGTGTGTATGTGTTGGTGGTGCCTGCCTCAAGTGCAACTATAAATGGCGTAATATGTGCGAGTGTACGAATAGCACTTGTGACCAGTGAATACAGATAGACATACATATACACATAGAATACATACAATATATAGTATATGTACTATTAGATATTTGTTTTGGGGCAACGAGCAAAACGGCGTACGTGAAAATTCAATACCGTGCTGAGCCGCTGGCTCGCAGTCTGTCCGATTGTGTCTCTGGAGACGTGCAAAATGGATGAATGCGATAACCTCGTCGTTACCTTAGCAGCACACGAGGCGTCGCCATCAGTCGCAGAGAAAGAGCAGCATCTTCAACAGGAACCAATCACCATCATCAATGATAACATCGTGGTATCAGAGACAGCAGAAACTCACTATTTTGATATAACGGACATAGAGCAAGGAATATCAACAGGAACAGTTGGAACTGTTGGAACAGTTGGAATTGTAACATTAGCAGCAGCAGCAGAAACAACAACAGAAACTGAAGAGGACGCAGAAGTAGACGCTGAAGTTGAAGCTGTCATCATTATGGTAAAGAGAGTAGAGCGCTTTAATTACAGTAACAGTCACTGCTTCAGTTTGTTGTTGTTTTATTGTTTTGTTTCTTTTTTTATACATAAGACAAATAGATTAAGATGTTTGTGCCCACTTATGGTACATTCTTACTATTTGCCCGTATTGACGCGCTAAACATGATGAGAGATGCTCTTTTGCCTTTTTAAATAGAAAGAAAGACATTTCATGAGAAACAGAATCGAAACTCGAGATCGGATTCTAAAAGTTAAATGAACAAAAAATGTTAAAACTATCATAAAAAAATTATCTTACAAAAAAAATATTGAAAAAACATATTCAAGCTGTTTTAATAGAATACTCTCTAAAAGTTTCTCATACATTATGTCAATACGTTTTTGAATATATATATACATATAATATATAATTTCCTGATTGCACGAAGTAGGTATTTTTTTTGCTCTTTTTTCGTATTTTGTATCCGTTAAGCAAGTAGATTTATGAAAATTAATAGGCCTGGAATTCGAGATCATTTCATCGAAACGTGAAATTTTTTAAAATAACCTTAGGTGCGACTAAAATGTCTTTAGAGGTTTTTGATATTACAAAATCCATAAATATGGATGAAACTGAAACATTTTATTCTCTTCTTATAAAATAACAAATAACACAAGATATTTGGGTAGAAGTCATTTTTTTGGCTGATCGTAACATTAAATCTCATCTTCTCTCAACTTTTTATTCGGTAATATCTATATATGTGAAGGTTTCTAACTGCATTTAGCTGTGAATCGGGATAGCTGGTATATTGTAACATATTTTTGTAATATTATAAAATTTGGGATGGGATATATTTCTTTTTATTTTTTTTGTTAATGTTGATGATGTAGTAAATAATATAAGAATGTATTTCTAAAGTAGTCAGAGAATTAAAGCTTATTTCTATTTCACAATCTTCTCAGCTATTGTTACAAGATTCAAAAGTTACATTGCACTGTACTTATATTTTGGATTTGAAAGTTATGTTCGTATTATTATTACGCGAGTTAAAGTGATTCTCAGATTATGTTATTTTAAAAGCTGTACCTCTTTTGGTTTACAGGCTAGAAAGTTGTTGTAATAGATAGGAAAATGCAACAGTATGTGAAAATAATGTGTCTGTCTAACCAAGTAATTGCTAAAGATTAGTATAAAGATGTTCCAAAATTTCGTTAATTATTGTTCAAAGTAATTTCTACATTATTTATTTTATTTTTTAAGTTTACTTTCGTAGAAAAAACATTTCAACTTTTTTCTGTAAGTGTATTTGAGAGCTGATGCTTTTACTTGACTGCGTACGCCTGTCCAAATGCACATCTAAATGCAAATGCAGGCGCATGAGTCATGCAAATATCGTTAGTTTTAGACGTCATGCCACCAAGCCACCCACAACACACCACACCTCCAACCACTGCCACTGGCAAGCACTTGACGTTAGAACTTTTATCTCAGCAGCTTATTGTTGTCTATTGTTTTGAGTTTTGAGCGCCACTGTTGACCTCAATCCGGCTTTGAAGTCAGCAGCTTTGCATTAATTGTTGCACCCGTTCTTCTCCAAATATCTGATCTCCACCCCCTCTCACACACTTTCCATTTTTAGGGTCAGACGGAGAGCAAGAAGCAAGGAGGTGGGGGCGGCAAGGCGAGTCGTCGGAACAATGGCGAACAGGGCGAGCACACATTACACACCAAAGGGACAGCCATGTCCTTTGGATTCCGCAAAAAGCTCAACTCGACGCCCAAGAAGTTCAAGAAACTGTTGGAGGGCACCACCGACCGTGGCGGCGACGGGGACTCCAAAACCCCGGAGCCCATCAAAGACGACAATGGGAATGCAGGTGAGCTCTGGCAATTGGTCAGCGATTCTAATTGGCATCTAGTATTGTGTGTTCTTTAACGATGCACTGACACGGCATGTAACTAACTGTCTTTATTTCCGGCTGTACCTTCTCTCCACCCACCCCGTAGCCACCCCTCCACCCGTACATTTCGAGAAAGTGGGCGCCGCAGCTCAGCGTGGAGCGACAGGCGCGGCCGGCAATCGCTTTGGATATCGCGGACAAATGCCACGCCCCGCTTCCACAGGCTTGGCGACCATGACCGGCGAGGAGTCAACCACAGAGAACAACAACAACAATAACCACAATGGCAATGCAACGGCCAGCAACACCAACAATAACCCCAACAACAACAACAATAATAATGCCGGCGTCCTCGTCAGCAATTGTAAGTGGCACTTTTGAACTCTGCACTTTGTAATGCCAACGAGAGAGAGAAAGAGAAAAGTAAACTAAAATCAACATCTTTCACCCAACCCGTCTCTCGTCCGCCCCCTTCTAGTGAAGCGTCGTTCGAAGAGCGCGCACGCAGGCCGTACCTTGGACGGCACCCAGAGCGATGGCGAGCCAAAAATAACACAACCAAAGACACTGACGTTCAATCTGAATCAGAACACAACCATTGAGTACCAGCGGCGTCAGTTCTTCGGCGAGATCGTAGACGGCACATCTCAGACAACCCGGTGTGGCTCACGCAGCCAGCAGACGACGGCACAACGCTACAACTACAACAATCTGGCCAGTATGCACGCGAATGTCATGTGAGTACTGAATGGAGTTGGAAAACACTGAATAGGTGGGACTCAAGCCACTTAGTCGCGAATTTAAATGAAGTGTGATAATAATTAGGAGTTCTTAAATACTCTAATCTAGCTTCTTTGTTTTTAACTTAATTGTGAACGATTTGAAAACGTTTTAGAAAGTATTACTCAATACTCCAGTAAGCACATTCAGTACCTCACCCAATAACATGAAAAGGAAGAAAATTTGTGCTCTAACTTGTGCCCGAACTTAAAAAATTATAGAATTTCGGCTTGATTCTCGCTATTCTAGATATTTCTTGAAACCGCCTTCGACTAAGCCTCTTTCACATTTTCTCTAGCGTTCGCCCCACTCCCCGTGCCGCTCCCGCCAGCTTTGCCAAGTTCACGTTGCAAACAGTTAGTCTCCCACGGCCAGAATATCCTGTGGCCATCAGTCTAAGTGCTACCACGCCCACAACGCCCAGCAGCAGCAGCGTTCAGTCGCCGATTCCAGCGCATGCCACAGGCGCCCGAGCCAAGGATACGACTACTTCAACAACAACAACCACAACACGTCAGCACCCGCTGACCTCGGTGCACGCCCAACCCATCGGAGGTAACCTCCGGCAACTGGATCAGAAGAGCGTCAAGCAGTTGACGAACAATTCGACACGTCGCGGCTTCTCCGGCAGTCGTGAGATTAGCGCCGATTCGGGTATAGCCAGCATGGACATGGCGCTAGATAGCTCGGGTAGTTGCAGCTCGGGAGCTACGCGTCGTACCTCAGTCGCTTCCCCCAAACGCAGTCGCAGTCGACCGCGTAATCTGCAGATGGTGATGAGCGGACGCCACACATTTGAGGTGCGGGACCTAGACGATCCGCCTTCTAGCGAGTCCAGCTCTTTTGTGGAGACACTGGCCTTGCCCAAGCTGCCCACAGACAGCAATCAGAGCATGCCCTTGCCACTGGTGGGACTCGTACGCTCCAATACCGTGCTCAGTCGCGAGAGCTACGAACGCCGTCAGGGAGAACAGCAGCAGCATCAGGATCAACAAATACAGCAGAAGCCCACAAATCAAGCAATGGCCGCTCTGCAGCGTAACGGAAGCGATGAAAGCGAGAGCGTGGATGAGGAGAAACTGTATTTGGATTCGTCGACATCGGAGAAAAGTGCCAAACAGCAGAACACATCGCCATGCAGCTCCACGCTCTCCTCCTGGTGTCAGGCGGGCGAGTCACTCGCGGTAAAGGATTGCAGCAGCATGAGCATCACCAGCAGCAGTGATGGCAACAATCAGCATAGAAATCAGGCTAACAAAGAGCAGATCGAACAAGAGCAGGATATGTCGCTGGGTCTCGACGATATTAGTCTGATGAACACGGACATGCAATTTAGCACCCTTTGTAAGTATCGTGAAGGAAAGATGTTTTAGTTATGCAATCAACCCGAGCTGAATTTTGTTCTGAACCATTTTTATTTTATGAGTTCCAAGCAATAGGAATCCCTTTCAAAAGTTAAAATATTTATATTAAAAACCGAACTTAAGAGAGATCCTCCTCACAAAAGTTCTGGAAATAGTTCCCACTTTTACAGTGACGAATGTCCCTTCCTTTTAGATTGATCAAAATAAAATTAGTTGAAACCCAAACTTAAAAGAGATATCCCGCACAAATTTTCTGTATAAATTTAAATGTATATTACCAAAAGGCTAATTAAATTTGGTTTCTCCACAGCTTCCATAACGGAGACACCGAAGGCCACTGCTCAGCCCCAGGATTCACTGCTCAAAATGCACATTGTGGACAACCGGGAGGGCTCCACTCTTGAAACCCAAGGCACAAATGCAAGCCAACAGTGTGAGCGTCCACGCTCCTTCAACAATGCGCTCAACGAGTCCAAGTTCGCGGAGCTTGCCTTGGCGAGCAGCAACTACCTGCTGGACGATGAGACATCGCCCACAGATAGTCTGGTGAGCAGCACGGAGTCAGAGGAGGCTGTGGGCAAGCTGCAGAAGCATAAACTCAATGCTGAGCTGCAGGAGAAGGATATTGATGAGATCTCACCTGAACTTGAAGTGGGAAGTCCCATCTCACCGGGCACACCCACACATGCCTCCCATTCGCTGTCCCTCGGCTCCGATTGCGGCAATCTAATCGATGATGAAATTGCCGATCAGCCAGCATTGCTCTTCAATAGCGATGCGCAGGAACCTGCTTCTGGAGAACTGAGCCTCGCTCAGCAAACAGACACACCCACGCTCATGGAAACGCACACCCACACCGGTTCGTTGCGATCGCTGAAGAGTCAGTCGAAGGCACGCACAGCCCTACAACAGGCCATCGAATTGAGTCTGCGAACTCCCGCCTCAATACGCAAGGCCGTCATGGAGCGTGCCGAGTCGCTGGACACACTCTCGCCCTGCGAATCGATATGCTCCGACGATCTCATGATGGACTTCGATGTGAACAGCAGCATGGACTCCATAGATCACACTACCTCGGTGCGCAGTCGCAGCGGCTCCGATTTGCACCAAATGGAACAGTCGGAGACGGAGCTCATGGCCCAGCTGGAGCGGAAGAGCAGTAACGTCATGCAGGAACTCAACAGCATGTTGCGGCAGCGCATGCAACGCAATGGCGCCAGGGAGCGTATCAGGTGAGTGCCAGTTGCCGCCACACCCTGCCCCAATTTCTTGCCACCACTCCACTCTCAATTGAAGACATTGATTTACTTCGTGGCGCGTTCGCTGTTCGCTATTCGCTGTTCGCTGTCTTGATGCCACATGCATTTGATTTCATTAGCGCATCTGGCATATTGCCAGCTACCTACCAGCACTCCAAGTTGATTGAAGATGTTGTTGTTGTTGTTGTTGTTGCTGCTGGCAATGCTTGAAACTCAAAGCAACTTACTTGTCTAATCAATCAGACCCGGCAGATGCAATGGAACATGTAACTCAGTCTCTGAGTGCCGGCCGGCCGGCCGGCTGGTCGCTCGGTCCACATGCCTACTCGTAGCTTCAAAGCACTGTGGGACATGTTCGATATATTGCTGGAACAAAATTTAAATGAATTTTTGTTATAGTAAATTTAAAATAATGTTAAAGTTCAGACATGTAACTGAATTAAAGTCTTTAAATTATGAAAGCCACAGAAAAAGTTCGAACATTAAATAATATTAAATAATGGATCCAACACTGCTAACGATATCAAATAATGCCTGCAAATAAGCACTTAATCTAATACATTTCCGACGTGAATTCCAGTCATGAACCGTAACTCGCTATTTAAGCTATGAGTTGCAATAATTGACTTGAATTGGGAAATTCCATGAAATCTAAACTTAAGATAGTAACATAAAGTAGAACAATCAACTTTAACCGACGACCAGCTGTTGAAACCATTTCATACATTAACATCTTAAAACAAACCCTCGTTCGTAGAGGGCCTTATCTGATCCGAGAGACGTTGTTAGATCTACAATAATTACTTTAAAAAACCATATACGATTATATGAACTTACTTAAAAGGAGAAATTCAAATAATAGAGAATAATTCCAAGAAATCACGAAAGCATGAAAAACAATTAATATAAATTTTAGTATCAAAAACACTACTGATAGTCTCTGCCGATGGAAAAATGTTTATTAGCCAGTCTAGTTGCGGGGTTCAGCGGTTCAGTAGTTGAAAATATATGAGAGGGAGAGTTTGACCTAAAGTAGGCGAGGAAATTACAGTTTGCAAACCATACGAAAAGAATTTTGCAGGACGCATTTAGTTGTGCATTGTTGAGTAATTTATTTATTTATTTATGTCAACAAACATTGACTGTCGACATAGGAAACAGTATATAAAAATCATAAAAAGCATCTTATAAGCTAGAAGCCTAAGAAGGAGAAATCTAATCAAAAAAAGAAGGAAGTACTATGCTGTATACGTATGTATACGACGATAAAAGGTCAGCGGAATCTACATCGCCTACAATAATTTGTGGATCCTCCACAACAACAAAAACTATCCCACGGTTATCTTACGAAAGGTGGTAAACAAAGATTAGACCACGAAAAGCTAAAGAAGAAATTAATTCTGGACCGACTCAATCAAATCCAGCAGACCAATCAGATACAAAGAGTTGCTATACGATAGAATAAGTTTCACATCATTCGCTTGCTTGAGTATGAGATTAAAACTTAAATATAGAAATGTCAAAGAAACTCCATTTTGCCCATCAACATTGTTGATTTGTTCCATGGTGTCATGTAATGATTGCAATTTGCCGGAAAACAACTTTTGATGGCGCTGTCGTTTTGCATTGCCGTCGCATTTGCTGGCCGGCTGATCATCAGCGACGGTCACTCTCACAGCATTTGGAAATTGAAATTAGCCCGAAATTAGACAGACAGACAGAGAGAGAGAGAGAGGGAGAGGCGGAGAGGCAGGAGAGAGCAACTGGAGCACAGGTTGCAGTGGAGTCGAAGTAGAATTGAAAAAGGTTAGCACTGTGTTTGTTGGTGTTGTTGTCGTGGCTACCATGAAATGTGAATGCGAACGTGAATCGGAATGGGAATGGGAGAATGGTGGTGATGGTGTTATTGATGATAATGACGATGATGATGATGATAATGGAAACGGGACGGGCCGCAACGGATCGTTGTGTGGGCCCGGCCGCATTCTGGCCGAAAGCAACGGCACTTGGCATTTGCAGGCAGCAATTGCTGGTTCGCTAAAAATCGTGGTCGTAGTTAAGATAACATTTTGACTTTGGCCTGCCAGCCTGCCAGCTTGCCTGCCTGCTTGCCAGCCTATGTTTGTGCCTGCCGAGTGCCGCATTCTTTTGTCATGGCAACAACTTTTTGTTGCAATAAACAACAACAACAACAACAAGCGCACGATGTGGCCGACAACATGCCACAAAAGCCATTTCTTGCTCTAACCAAAGTTAAAAAGTTTGTTGTGCTGCAGCTAATGTTTTTGTTGTCGTTGTTGTTGTAGTTCCACCATGTCTGCAAGGAAAAATCAATTGTCTGTGCCATGTGAACCTGTTTGGTCGTTTTGCTCGAGCCAGGAAAGGCAACAGCAGAAATAACTGCAAAATGCCAAACAAAATGCCGCTGGCTTGTCATTGTCGTTGACTGTTGATGTTGTTGTTGTTGCTGCTGTTGTTATTGTTTATGTCTGGCCATTGACCATAAATTTGAATGCAATTGCAGTCTCAAACATGTCTAACGGTTGCACACTATTTATAAATCCATAAACATGCAACAACAAAATAATATAAATAAAAACTCATAAAAATGTAAATGCAAATGCAACCCACACTTAACCTTGAGCGGCTCTTAAGCTCCACTGCAGTGATGAGTCATGCTTCCATCTTAGACACCGGCTGCCATTCACATAAACAGCCGAGTAAGAGCTCTGCTGTCAACTCTGTTAATCGCGTGCGCACGCTCTCTCTACCTGCGAGTATATGTCTATCTCTCTCCCCTCTCATGCATAAACACACTTTGGACCAAGTTCCACCGCAACACATCTAACGCATTACAAAAGAATCCGAAAACCATATTCCATTGGAATGCATCAGAATCAGCATCAAATCGCATCATAAATCAGCTGTTGTTTGATGTTCTGCATTTCTGTGTATAATAATACTTTTTTAATTTATTTTGGCTTGACTTTGGGAGATAGTTGTCGTAATGATAAGCTTGCTAGCCAGTCCCAGAACAGTTCTGGTATGGTTAAATAAAAAACCATTCCTCAAAACTAATAAACTTTTAAAAGATAATTTCAAAAGTACAATAAACTGTTTAAATTTGCCTGATTAAAAATTATTACGGTTTCAACAATTTTTTTTCTCAAATTTGCAAATTTTTAGTAATGAAGAAGCCAATAAAGTTTATTTTTGTATGCTAGATCCAGTATATTTAATTTTAGTTTCACATCTTCAAGCCATAGTTTTCACAACCCTTTCACATTTATTCTTTCGCATTAATACCAAACGTTTTGTATGCCCTTCCATAAGTTGTCCTAATTTGTTGTTGCCCAAAATTGAATAATGCATAAAATACTTATTGAAATGTTCATCTACATTGTGTATGTGTATTGGCATACATGTGAGTCTAATTGATTTGCTGTAATCACAAGTTTTAAAGTATATTTCAAAGAACTAGATGCCCTACACCCGCATCAAAATGTAATGCTCCACTCACTCATTATACACATCTTTGGAAGCTGTAATAGCCGTAAAAAGTGTCTCAGTTGATGCGGTCCAGTGGGGAGAGACACCTGAACGTTAAACAAAAGCCCATCAGATCGTCTTTATCGCGCGCCTAAGCTGAACTTAGAGAGCTTTCTTTTCTAACGGCAAACACCAGCCCAGACAACGTACACAACAACAACACTTCATGGTAAATCGCACTGCTTGCCGTCGCAACGTTTTGGAACTGAAACTTTGGTCTGTTTACGGCTCTGTTCCATTTACCACAACGTTGCAGCTTTAACTGCTAAAGAGCCAAAGAGCCCGAAACAGCCATTTAGTATTAAACAAGATCTCAAAGCGTGCGCTTGTCTTGAACTAAAGCTCGTCGTGTTGTGGCGCTCGATATCAGATAAATGCAATTTATAGTGTGTTTGAATTATTGCCAATACGTCAAATATTGAGTATTGAGCATTTAGAGTTAACAACAAAAATAGTTTGTTAACAGCAAAAATAAAATAGAAAACACAAAGTCAGTGAACGCAATTTTAGCAATCAGCAAGTGCCTGTTAGCAACCAAATTGCCGATACGCACTGTTGCCTTTTTCATGCCACAAATACGCGGTTCAACGCCGACACCAACAGCAACAGCAAGAGCAACAAAAACATTAACGTTTATTATAAAAGACGCATCGAGCTGAACCGCCCCAAGCAGAAGTGTCAATGCTTTTTGTTGTGTGAAAATTCTAAACAAGTTTCGTAAATGTGAGTAAAAAGAAAAATGTTGAAACAAATGCAAAAATATGTATATCTTTTAACTCCAAAATATACATAGATTCACAGATATGTATGTGTGTGTAGGCCAGCCACAGATAATGATGGGCTTAATGGTTTAATGCGTAATCATCGCCTGACCATAAAAACCGCAAAACCAGCGGCTACAATTTAAAGATTAAGCCAAAACTCCAATGCCGGGTCTGTCCATTGTTTTACCCTACAAAGGAGAAGGCATGATGCGTAGCTGACAAAAGCTATTGATACTTGTAGATAGAGGAGGTATAAAATTATGAAGATGCTCCATCTTGGAAAAGGGTTTTTAAGCTATTCTTGCAAGCTTCTAAGAGATATGCCTTTCTTATTTTATAAAATGTAGAGCTTTCCCAGAGCGTGGCCTTTCTGATTAGTCATACACAAGTTCTTATTTGGAGGAGGCAAGATTTTTTTTCTATCTTTACACAATCTAAACAAAAAACTACTAATAGGGTTTCCAAGAAAGTTCGCCGCGTTGGTCATTATAGGAGAAAATATGATCAACAAATTCCTTAGGCCGGACGGAAAATCGGATTTAAATTAAACATGAACAGAGTGTTAGGATATATTCTACACTATTGTTGTGCTACAGTAATAATAATAGCAAATAAGAATTTAGCAGCTTTAAAAAAATGAATTTCCCTGCCAACTACTGA